TTATTCTGCACACAGGGCGTCTAAAATGCGAGGTTTTCTTCAAAGTTTGTCGTCGCTTCGGCATCTTGATGGATTTTTAGCCATCTTATTTCCATCCGCCCTAGTCGTGTCCTCCCGTGACGCTTCCCTACGCCCCCCTTCGCTGTTCCCTCCCCCTTCGGTTCTTCCCTGCGCCGCGGCTAAACAAAACCGTCAACACGGGCCCGTGGCGGCGTGCATCCGGAACTTGACGGCGTGCTCGTCGAGGAGCAGCTCGAGCACCGCCAAGCTCATCGACGTCGTCGTGCGGGACCCCATCAAGCTGTACTACGCCTCCTTGGGGTCGCCCTGTCGAGCCAAAATAAGGATTGTACTTCTTTTGCAAGTGCCTCTCGGGAAAGCGTCTTCCGCACCAGTTCTACGTCTTTGTCGTGCCTGTCAAAATCCATTTCCGCGTCGTCCGCGTAGAATCTAACTGTCACAGTTTCCTTATTAGCAGATTTCACTATGCCTTCGACCTTGTGGTCGTAACCCTCCAACGTCACCATCATGATGACGATGTCCCCCTCGCCCAGGTCCGGCTGAGGTTCTGGCTCTGGCTCTGGCTGCGGTTCTACGGGTCGTAACTTGAAGTGGATACCCTGCTCCGGAATGAAACACAAACTTTGAAGAAATCCTAGCGTCTAGAGGACTAGAGACGGCCTCTCTGCACGAGTATTTCAGTGGCCGATGATGGAATCTCCACCTTAGAGGGCCCCGCGCTCCTCGAATATGCAGCCCGGGCATACACCGGCATAGCAGCAGGCATAGCAGGCGCATAGTAGGCGCATAGCAGGCGCATAGCAGGCGCATAAGACCAGCATATCAGGCGCATAGCAGGCGCATAGCAGGCGCATAGCAGGCGCACGGACTGTACTTTAACTTACGTTGAACGTCAAGTTGATGTATGGGACTTAGATTATTTACAGCATACCACCAGCATAGCAGCCCGACGACCGCTGTCGACGACCCCAGGCGACGACCGCCGGAGGTCGCCGCATAGCAGCCGCATACCACCAGCATAGCAGCCGCATACCACCAGCATAGCAGGCGCATACCACCCGCATAAAACCCGCATACCACCCGCATACCACCCGCATTAAACCCGCATACCACCCGCATAACACCCGCATAAAACCCGCAAAGCAGGCGCATACTACCAGGCATACCGGCGGTCAACCCCCTCGGTCCTGAGGTAGGGGCGCGTTGGGACCAAGGTCCCGTACGGACCCTAACCCTACCCTACTCCCGCGGCTTTTCAATTGTTTCGGGGATGATGAGGATGGGGTAGGCGGCGCTCCTGCGTCGGATTCTGCCGCCGGCCGCGGCCGGCAGCCGCGGGGCTTACTGGAGCAAACTCTGGCCGGGGGCTTTTATTCCCAGGCCCCGGGCTACTATATAGTACACACACCAGACGCCCCAGCTGGTTTTTGCGCTGGTTTTTGCGCTGGGCCTTTGCAGCGAAACGACAAATAGGCATATGGGCGCGTTGCTTTTTTTGCCTGTCGCCCGGGGTTGACGGGTACCCAAGGCGAAGGTTAGATTGGGCGGGTTCTGGGCCCCGGCCACACTATAGCAGTGGCTGTTGTCACCATAAAGGCAACTCGCATAACCTGCCCCATCCTATGACAGAGGCGGGCACAAGATGATGACCAGGGCAACGTGATCATCATTCAACATGCTCACGAAAACTTTGAGGGTAACCGCCATTGTTACCAACATCCCATTTGCTGGTGAGACAGGCGCCACTTGGTGGGGCGGGCGCCACATCCCTCATCTTAAAAACAAACAGGATGCGCATGAAGCAACTTATTGAAGTACTACCCGAATCAAAGTAGAGACATGGCTGTGAACCTATCGGCTGATGATAAGGGCACTTGCAGAGTCCATGAATATATCACACAGAAAGTACATCATCTACGAGTTCCTTTCCCATCCCAGTTGCTTGTTCACCATGGGTGTCAGTTTGAACAACGGCGGGTGCTGACCTAGGTTTCAACTTTCGGTTGGCTCAATACCATCGACTCGTAATTCATAGCGCAGTTTCTGCTTAGAAGTTTCCTGGAGAATGCGCCCATGTGTTTGATGCCAAGGGACGAGAGTTGAAAATATTGATTGTCTGCTCTCAAGAGCCCACGCGGCTGGAACTTGCATATAACGCTGCAAAAATCGACGCACAAAAACCTGCATTGGCGATTGCCCAGAAGACAACAGCAAGTAACACAGAAGCTGTACATGCATTGACGGGGGGCGAACTTCATTGTGATCGCCATCAACTGCCAAGATAAACTTATCGCCTGAATTTACCAAGCAGGTCAGAATAATCAGAGAGGATAGTAACACACGCGCAGGGGCAAGCCTGCATAATTGGCATGAAGAAGGTCTGAGTGACGATTTGAAATGAATGAGTCGGAGCGCACAACACAGAAAAGTGCTGGGACATACATTCTTGCCACGTGGTCGATTGCCGCCTGTGTGCAGCTCTTATAGCACAAGAACGTCTTGGGACTATGGCTGCGGACTATTTCGTTTATGTCCACCTTTGCGCGCTTCCTAATTGTTGATCTCACCAGGCGCAGAACTGCAGCAATGGCAAATCCAGGTATCTTAATAGACGAGCCGGAAGTTGCTCGGTGCACTAGTTCTTCCGCGAGCCTGCCAGATGAGACTTGCAATCACCACGTCAATTGCCAGGCAAGTCCCTCACATTCGAAGGGATGCAAATGGAGAGTCCAGAACCATTGCATCGAGCATGTTATCCTCATCTGCATAGAGAAGCGCCGCTACCGCGCCTGAGTTTAGACGAGTGCATTCTGGCTGACTGTAACTAACACATGATTTTAACCCATGCTTCTGCCCCAAAATGCAATTGTCGAAGTTGCTCCTAAAATATGACAGCGAGAAGATGCCAAGCAAAGATAATTAAGGTGATCGCACCTTCTTCTCGAAGATATGCCACAATTGCACGGATGTCTAGGCGCTCCCAAGCTCCTAGGGTGACATACTCACCTAATAAGTTTGAGCAAAAGCTGCAATTGATAGCCAAGTGCATTGTCACACTGCTATAGACCCTCCGAGAGTCCGGACCCCGAGAAATCAAAGGATACAACTGCGATGCCAAGGGAGAGGCAAACGGACAGTTGCGGCAACGCCTCCACGCGAGCAGACCTAACTTGCATGAGTTCATGCATCCGTCGACCCTTGGCTCTGATAACATCACGCATTTCCGTGCATGAAAATAAGAGTGGGCAACATGCGTGCGCGGAAGTTTGTTGGTTGCCAACGAGAGCAAACAAGTGTATGACCGCGAGAATTCAGCACCACAAAATCTCTCCGTTCAAAAGAGCGTCCAAGAAACTCGAATAATCTAGGCCCAAGATGACGCGGCTCGTAGCTAGTGCGTGGGGGGCGAATAATTGCTGCAACAACCTGCTCGTATGCTTGACGAACTTGCTGCACGAAAGTCATTGATTTGAGATCCGCCATCAGAAATAATAGCTGTAAAGTGATGAGAAATAATAGCTGTAAAGTGATGATAATATGTGGCTGGGTTGGATAAGATCCCCGATCGAATGACGCGGATCGGATTCGAGAAAATCGATGGCAAAGAGGGCTTTGGCAGTGGTGATGGGCACCTTTGGCAAGCTCTATCTCGGCGCCATGACCACCGATTTGCAAAATTCTTGTTGCATCTGAAAGCCGGCACCGCCGTCTTGCGCGCAGAGCCACTAACTCAAAAACTTCAAGAGCCCCACAAATCCGCCTTTTTATTCAACCCAGCCACATATACAACTTCAGGTCGGGAATGTCCTGATATACCTTGGCCTTGGCCTGATTATATATACCTCTGACCTAGGAAGGGCCGTTTCCTTTCCCCTTCCTTTCCTCCGTTTCTCTCTCTCTATTCCACGTGAAGCATGGAGTATAGAGTAGCGTCGCCCGTCGGGAATCAGGGATGCCTAGCAGCCCCATCTCACTTAACCGTGCCCGGTCTAAGTCAGGCACACTGCTATTTCCACTCACGCGCATCAACAGCGGCCTACAGGAAGCGAAGTGAGAAACGCCTTGAGAATCTGGAGGGTAGCGCAAGTTCAACATTATCGAGACTTTCGTAATCATTAAATTTTCTTAACCCATGGGGGCATATGCTTGGGGGTGGGCAGAGGACGGTCGATGTGGAATCGGTAAAAAGTTAGCCATCGAATTGAAGCAGACAAACTTTCCAGCCGAACTGTGCGAATTTTGGGATGCTCATTCTCATCCTCAACGCTGTGCGGCAGGACAGGGGCATAGTTTATTTCTACTACCTACGGGAGATCTCTGGGCCTGTGGTATTGGCACCGACGGTGAATTGGGGGTCGGAGACATCACAGAGAAGTTGGATGATGATTTCATTCCGATGCCATTGCCTGATAGAGCCTCGCACGGTGTATCATGCAAAGCAGTGCATCGTGCTCATCGACCAGTCAAGGTGTTGTTCGAGGATGGCATACATGCAAGGAGTGTTTCAGCTGGGGACTGCAATTCGTCCAATGGATATGCGGCGTATAATTACCCCCCCCCCCCTTGCTATCGATCCTAGGCACAGGTATGCGATATCAAGCCTGGGTGACCTGTATGCATGGGGGAGGGGTCGATATGGCGCCCTAGGACATGACGATGGGGAGCAAAGCCATACTCTACCAACACGGTTACAAGGACTTAAAGCGAATACTGTAAATCGTATCGCATGCGGGCGCTGGCACTGCGTAGCACTGATGAGCAATGATCAACTGCTTACCTGGGGCAGAAATCACTGTGGACAGATTGGCATTGGTTCAGTATCACGCGCTTGTACCAGGCCTGTTTTGATCGAGCTCGAACCGGGAGGAGGGCGATCACCTTCCGTGAGAGATGTGGCTTCTGGTATCCAATTATCAGAGTGATCTCCTGTGCTCGCGTGACGTTCTTGGTGTAGGAGAAGCGCATACCGTCGTCGTGGCTGACTCGAAACGAGACAGCGGCGAAGTGGAGGTTCTAAACAGGGTCTCTCTTTCGTGTATCAGCTTTGGATGTAGTCGTCTCTGATCTACAAAGCCTAGGTCATGGCATATGCGTGGGGAGACCCCGAAGATTCGAGACTCGGTGGCGTTGATGTCAGACAGCATCACAAACCGCAGCCTATAAAGGCGCTCACTCAAATGCTTCGACGCCTTCGTTTTAAAATAGCAAGCGCGCAGGATTCACACGAGCAAACGATCATTGCATGTGGTGTATCACATAATCTTATACTAACGACAGCTGGCAGACTCCTTGCCTGGGGGTGCGGGCGATATGGCCAGCTAGGGTATGGGGATCTGTGGGACCGTGAAGAGCCCGTCGTAGTACCAACTGTGAGTTCTGTCCGTGCATTCGCAGCTGGCAGCCGACATACGATTGCAATAAGTGTGGTACCAGGCAGCTCGCGTTCCTTGGCTCTCTCGCCTAGCATCGTAATAAATTTAGGTGCGCTCCAATCAGAGCCCCTTGATGACCGAAGCGAAAGGATCCAGCACACTATGTAGCTCGAGCCTAGCATCTGCAAAAAAACACGGAACTATATTCGCGTGGGGTTTCAACTCCTTTGGCGAACTTGGCCTAGGCGCGTGTATATATATTCTTTTTCCGAAGCCAAGCGCTGTTTCACAGGGGACGAAGACATACGGTTGCAACCCGTTTCTGTGCGTGCACTGAGCAGCTCAAACACACTTGACTGTGCGGCCGGGGCACGTCACAGCTTAGTTTTGACCCACGGCAAAACACTCTCTGGTGGAATGCACAAAGACGCATGCCTCGATACGAATTCTAGGTACGAATATTTAATATTGAATTACCTGCGAATGTATCAATCATTCCAGGCGCGAATTGAGACTCGACACTAAGAGGGTTCAGGAAGATGCTCAATACTTCGAGGCGCTGCGTAATAAGATAGTAATCTCTTACTCGCTGCCATTTGAGCCAGAGCTCCGCTACTGTTTGGACACGATACCTGCGGATCAGGGAGGTCTTATCTTTGCTCGTCGCTTCACGTATGAGAGTGTTGTAACCTGCCTACCGTGCCGACAGTTGCTTGTCCGTCCGCCCCACGCCTCTTCAGAGAATTATCATGCCAGTGTCGTGTAATAGGTGTGTCGTGCCTGTGCTCGTCGATGCCACAGTAATCACATGACAAAAGTGAAATTTTCGAGATGGACAGTAAGCCAAAATCGGTGCGGATGTGCGGATAGTGGACGTTGTCGAGTGGTGTATTCCAGTGAACGTGGTATATTCGACAGTCTCGTTGACAGAAGCAACGTGCAAGTCACGAGCAGTGAGAACAAGGAGACGATCAGTATGCAGTTTTTCAGAGAACTACTAAAGCTGCTACACCCTGAAGGCCTATCGGAAGATGACATTGATTCGGGTGAGGTTGCATTGCACTCTGTAGCAGGATCTATCTCATGGACTGCCTTTGAAAAATGGCACACGCCCTATTTCGAGGTGCGCTCTATTAGGGCCACTCGCCTATGTCCACGTCACTTGTGCTGGGTGCGTGTCCTAGGAAAAACGCAGAGAGGCAGACACAGACCACGGAGGTGCGTAAATGAAAGCAGCGGGGCAGCGCAGCGCCACTAAGCTGGTACAATGCCACTGCAAAGGGGCGGCAAAGTGCAGGAGCAAATACTCGAAGAGCCTTCGTACAATATGTGCCAGGTAGCGGGTTAGTCTTGAGCTGCTCTTGGAGTGGGATCACTGGCAATGATCTCAACAACCTGCTAGAATCCCAGTATACAAGCGCCCTACTCAGCATCGCATGGCCAGCATAAAGCACGGCTAGTATTAGCCGGACCCCGGGTATGGCCAGCATAGGCGAGCATGGCAAATTAGCAGCCTGCGCTGTTGTAGAGGGCTCCGGGAATAAGCTAGGCCAGCCCTTACTACTGAGCGGTGTAAAACACCGGATTCGCGGATGTTCCGGCTCTGATGTTCCGGTAGAGGCCTCGCGGGTGTTCCGGCTTCCGGCTCTCCCCCCCCCCCCCCCGGGCGCGTGTTCCGGTTCACTTCCTCCGGTCGTGTTCTGGCGCGTTCCGGCGCGTTCCGGTGTTCCGGTAGATTTTCGGGCGGATTTGTCTTCTCAATTGCCCGTTCACGGCACGCTCAGTGCGCGTCGTGAGACAGGGAATTCGGACCTGGGCGTCTAGCACCATTCCCCAGAGACCTGGGCATCCGGCCAGGCAAATTACGCACAGCGCCCTAGGGCGCAAAAAAACAGGAAATCACCCTGAGGCGAGGCACAGGTCGTCGTCAGTGCACAACAGGTGCGCCAAATTTATCTAGAGTAGTAGCAGCATCGTCGCCGCCGCCGCCACCGCCGCCGCCGCCGACGATGACGACGACGACGACGCGCGCGTGCGTTCGAACCTACAATCGGACAGAAAACAGCACAGCTGCGCCGCCGCCGCCGCCGCCGCCGCCGCCGCCGCCGACGACGACGACGACGCGCGCGTGCGTTCGAACCTACAATCGGACAGTTTACAGCACAGGGGAGGTCACGTTCGTTCGATGTGTCAAACTGTAACGGAATATATACGGGGCACGCCGCAGCCGCAGATATCGAATCCGACATGCTCCGGCGCACGCCGCGCGCGTGTTCCGGCAGGAAGCTGTGTTCCGGAGCGCGCGACTCCGGGCGCTCCCGGCCGTTCCGGCGTACCGGCGCAGTCCCCAGACGTACGTCAGCACGACACACGTCTTCATGACGCCGTCGATCTCGCGTGACATGCGAAACATGCAGCGGTCGACTGGCATGACGCTGAAGTCCAGCTCGTCCGTGAGGAACTGATCGTCAGGCTGAGCATCTGGAACCAGATGAGGCCGGACTCCTCGCGCCCGTAGACGTTCTTGTCGACGCGGAGGTAGAAGTCGCCGGGCCATATGGCGGCTCGCCGTGCTTGCGGCGCAGGTAGTCGCGCCACCCCGCCGGATAGAACGAGGCCTAGAACGGTGCAGTAGTACGACGTTCAATTTAATAATGCCTACAACAGTACCAATCCCAGTGAAGTGATCAAAACTCGGATTCTGATAGCCTGGATTTAAAAGTCAACATTTTTGTTGAACTTCAGCACTTTTGTTGAAGTTAAATCTTGCGATTTCTTGACCCGAACCAGCGACCGCGCGCAAAAAGTCTTCGCAAACGTGCAATCAACGCGTGAGTATCATCAAGCTTGCTTTGATACGACCATTTAACCAATTTTGGCCGTGATTTCAGCCCGCGGACCTCCGCGACACCGCGCCCGCGCGCGCGGTCGACGCACAGCCTCTATGGAGGACTAATGACTCTGGCTCCGCCGGCCGGAATTCGATGATTGATCTTTATTAATTAATTTCCTATGGGCGTGTCTAGATGTACGTTGATCACTTCACTGACCAATCCTGCTAAGCTATCGCGGTTACTATGGCAGACGAGAGCAACAGTGCTTTCGAACCACATAACCCGAGCGGGCCTCCTATGATGACGCCGCTCCAGATAGCCCTCACGTTTGGCGCTATCGCTCTACCAACAGCGGTCCTCGCCGCTAAATATCTCTTAGTGAAGAACGACGAAGTTTCAAACGAGATGCTATTGACTGACGGAGGGGAGGAACGGCTCCCAATTAAAGTTGCGACAGATGATGAAATGGAATTCGTTAACTCAGCACCGTGGCCACGAGAGCTGCCGGGTTTGGCGGAAATTGAGGCGTATGAAGCAGCTAAAGCTAACGTCTTCAATGAGGAGAATGTTAGCGACGATATCACCGATGAGTCGCGCATGCGTCTTCGGCACGCATTAATGGACCGCTGTCAAACGCACGTAGCGTGGCTGCTGCGTCTTGAGCGGGAACAGCGTTCAATTGAGCGAATGGCACGGCGTGGCATGATGTCTGAAGCTGATTTTCAGACATTTTCACGATTTGCCGAGCGTTTGGACACGGAAGTGAATGAGGTGCGTGAAGAGGCTGCTTGGCTCTGTAATGATCCCGAACGCAGCCGCCAGGCTTCTGAGGAGATATGGTGCGTTTGTAACCCATAATATCTTGACTAATCATGTGCCTTTTATATAGGCGAATCGCAGTACAGATCTGGCACCAGCGGCGGCAACGGGATACGCAACACGAAGCTAAGTTGCAGGCGGGACGTTCAAGGGCTTCTGAAGATGCAATCAGGCGCAATGCTGCAAAGAACAGCCTCAGGGGTCTCAAGGGCGGCTTCTTGAGCAAGGGGACTGAAAATTCATCGAACCTCAGGGGTAGCCGGATGTCTATTAAGAAGAGCCCTGATAGTGTGCCGATCCGTCAAGCAGAGACCGTCTTTGAGGCGATGAAATGGCCGGAGCAGCTCCCCGCTGCCTTCGCAATCCGTCAATATGAAGCACTGAAAGAAACAGCACTCAAGGATGCTTCTTTTACCAATAACGGGTTTCTCGCGGAGGGCGAGTCGAAGCAACGCCTCCGACAGGCACTCATGGAGCGCTGTCAGTCTCAGGTGCCATGGATGCACCGTCTACAACAGGAGCATCAACGTGTGCGTGCCGCTATGGAGCGCGCACAGTGGCAGTCAGGCGCGACACCAACTGCTGACGATCTTGGAAGGCTAAAAAAGTTTGAAGATATGTGTAAGATGGAGACTGCTAAAGTAGAGGAAGAAGCAGAATGGCTTGGCGATAAAGATGGCGCAGCTGGTATGGGGACGCGTATTTGGCCAATGGCATTTGAGCTCCATGCAAAAGCGAACGCACAAAATGCTGAACGCGAGAAAATGGCGCGCCTGCACCACGATAAGACCCTTAGGGCCTACGCGGAGCATTCCGCCAAACCCTGGCCGAGTGAAATGCCCGGCATTGCACAAAGAAGGACATATGAACAGATGAAGGCAGCTATTCTACAGCAACTGCCTCAACTTGCACAAGCTGCTATGCTCGAAGGCAGGCCAGCGCCGCAGGTTGTCGGTGGACAGGTCGCCCGTCAACTCCGCGCCGCTCTCATGGCCCGCTGCCAGCAAATCGTACCGCTCATCCAACGCCTTCAGGCAGAAGGCCGCGCTTTTAAAACGGCAGTTGAGCGTGGGCACGTCGAGAATAAGGATGCCGCTCACTTCCGGTCTATTGACATCGATGTCAAAACAGAAATAGACGCAGTGAAGGTCGAGGCTGAATGGCTTTCTGATGACACTGGCACTCGCGTTGGCATGGGAGACCAGGTCTGGCCCGCCGCTTTTCAAATATATGCCAAACGACGTGCTGAGGTTGCCAAACAGATCCAGGCCGCACAGATGCAACGCCAGGAAGACGAAGTCATCAATGAGGCCGAATCACCTGTTTCTGCAGATGCTATCGATTAGGTTGCTGTTGAAGCTGAGGGCTCTACAAGGCGCACCGATTTAAGTCTGAATGCCATCGCCACCAGGCAGGAACTCCAGCATATTCAAACGGAGATCATATTGTCCTTGCTGCATCTAGTCTGAGCCCCGCCCGGACGCGGGGATGTTGGCAACCGTGCTGGCTTCGCCGAACTCCCTTGCCCCCCCCAAGTGGCCCGCTCAAGTGGCCCCACTAAGTGTCCCCCTGCAACCCGCGTGTGCAGCCCCCGGAATGAATTCGCCAGCGGAATGAATTCGCCGCTTGCTGCCACCCCCCCCCCAACATATTCCGCCGGCGGGATATGCTAAACGCCGCTTCAACTTGGTAACATATCCCGCCGGCGGGATATGTTAAACGCCGCTTCAACCTTAAACCTTGCACTTCAACAGGGACCTCAACACCGCCGCTTGCCCTTCAAAAGGGACCTCAACACCGCCGCTCACGCCTCGCCAGGGACCTCTGACGCGCCGCCCGCGCCTTAGGGAGCGCGACCCGCCCCACTGGCATGCTCATGCTATACTATGCTGGTGCTTCATACTAGCATACTCGGATTCTAACATTGAGGTCCCCGGTCCGCTGCCCAGCGGCACTGTAAATCACACTGCCAAACACACCGGGCCGTGTCATTCTGCTGCCGACCAATGTCAGCATCGCCATATCTTGCTTATGACATAGAAACCATATACATCCTGTCTGCGAGCTCACAGCAAGTTGACTTTGATGAAGCCTTCTCTCTGAGAGTAGACTATGGACTTAGCCAAACGAGTGAATATCCAGACATCATGCAGTACGAACCATCGATGCAAGATATTAGAAATGTAGCAAACTCTACAGTGGGAGTACAAAAACCTAAAGTTTTAATAGTATTGCCGTAAATCAGTTCGCCAATCGCCAATTATCTTATCGCTTCAGAGATGGGCCTCTCGCGCGAGCGCAAGCAAGAGTATTTTGAGAAAATGGAGGGGCTCCTTGATATGTACTCAAAAATTTTCATCGTGTCCTGCGACAACGTTGGGTCAAAACAATTTCAGCAGATTCGCATCGCCCTGCGTGGCGAAGCAGTCGTCCTCATGGGTAAGAATACGATGATGCGCAAAGTTGTGACTGCGTACCTGGTGAAAAATCCGGGGCATCCGTATGAAATGCTCCTTCCTAAGATCATGGGTAACATTGGCTTCGTGTTTACTAATGGTGACCTTGGCAAGGTGCGAGAGCTCATCGAAGATAATCGTGTGCCTGCTCCAGCACGAGTCGGTGCGATAGCACCGATCGATGTGATCGTGCCCCCCGGTCCCACAGACTGTGACCCCGGCCAGACCAATTTTTTCCAGACCCTGCAGATTGCCACAAAGATTGTGAAGGGCCGCATTGAGATCACTTCCCCCGTCAACCTGCTGAAGGCCGGAGACAAGGTCGGCAACTCCGAAGCTGTTTTGCTCCAGAAGCTCCACATCAACCCTTTCGATTATGGCCTTGTTATCACGGAGGTCTACGACAATGGTTCCATGTTCGACGTGAAGGTTCTTGACCTCACCGATGAGGACCTCTCTATCAAGTTCGGCGCTGCCCTTAATACTCTCTCTTCCCTTTGCCTTCAGGTCGGCTATCCGACAATGGCCTCTGTACCTCACTCGGTCGCCAACGCCTTCAAGTCACTCATCGCCATCGCAGTGGAGTCCGGTGATGCCTTTTCCTTCGCCAAGGCAGGTCCTTTCAAGGCCTTCCTGGCGGACCCTTCGGCGTTTGCCTGTGCCGCCTGTGCGGGCGACGCCGGTGGCGACGCGGTCGCCATCGAGGAGAAGAAAGAGGAAGAGGAAGAAGAAGAGGTTGACATGGGCGGCGGTATGGACATGTTTGGCGATGATGGCGGTGGTGGTGATTACTGAAGAGCGGCCTCGTGGTCTCGGGGGCTCCATAGCAGACCTGCGAATGGATTAGTGCCATTTCCGATAGGCCTTCTTGGGTAGAGCTCTTGGGTAGGGCTCGTCTTGATTCGGGATCAACTCCAGGCTCGTGAGTTCCGGACCGCCGGCGGGGAGTTATAACTAAGTAGAGAGCTGCCAGTGGTTGTTCGATTGCGCGGCGGCTTGCCGTGCGGCTCCTGGGGCTTGCCCCGCCAGTACTACGGCGGTGGTGCGCGGGTCGTTCCGTGTGCCTATCCCATGTCCCGTGTTTGTCCTGAGGCCCGACGGTCGTCTATCCCACCAACCCAACGGCAGTTTAAGTGGGGCCAAGCGTACTGAAGAAGAGGCTACCCTAAGGTAGACTAAGCACGGTACCGCGTAGACCACCGACCAGCGAGGGTAATGTCAAGTAGGGGCGCGTTTGATGATAATAGAGAAGAGCAAGCGGCCAACTTTCTATATAGTCATCGGCATTGCGATATCTTCAGTCGCTTCAGGAACAGGTGATGACCCAACGCGCGGTCCGTTGGCCTCCCGAGGAGAGTCTCCTGGGCATCTTGCTGATCTATTGAGTTCAGTACCCCGCCTGGGCCTTTTCTCCCCTACTGGAGAGTGAGATCCTCTCTTTGCCGCTGGCTGTGTTTGCTGGCCAAGTGACTTCTCCTAGGTCCATCGGAATGAAGACTTCTTCACATGGAACAGATGCGCTCGGACGGGCGCCCCTGCTGTCTCCTCTATAGTTCACCCAAGTCTGATTCTCGACCATGATGCTTCCCGCGTCCAGCCGGCACGCCACCAGGCTGGCCGATGTGGGCTTGTCATTTACCTGGATCCTGAGGTGATCTGATGAAGCTCAATAGTGCCCTAATGGATGAAAGGACACTAAGTTTCGGGCTAGGCCCCTTGTTTCGTTGCAAGCTCACTTCGTACTCGAGCAATGAGTTCCTTATACTGCGGGTGATGTTTTTCGAGTTTACAACGCTGGGCTTCCGCAACAGCATTTTTCATTATATTGTGGTCCTGTTTCTCAAGCCCACGCTTCAGTTGATTGATAGCAGGGTTGAAGAGACGCTCATCAACTATCTGCATCACATCCAGATCGCGGACGGCACCAGAATAGTCAATACCGCGTCCATTTGGCCGAAGATACACGTTATGAATCTGTTTGTGCATCTCACCTGTGTCGACGAAACGACAGATGGGGACAGCAGAGCGCTTCGAAACATCAACGAGTGTTAGCTTGTAAAAAAGCTCAACAGGTCGCTCGGTCCCGAGACCGTAGAGCCCCATTTTTGTGCGATCCCAGTCATTGTCCATTCCCGGTGGGTTCATATGGATCAGAGATGTGAGTCTTTTCAGACTGCGCTGACCGTCACCGCGTCTAGCACTGCCACTCTCCCAAAATTTGGGCACGTTTCTCCGGCGGCTTGACATCTGCGCATACTCGTGAAATAAAACACTTGCCTGGGGCGCGTACATGTCGTATCCGTGAGTCCAGCCCCTGATACCAATTGAAATCTCTTCACCCATAAACACCATAGGAAGGCAACAATCGTATCTCACCTGATTGAGGAAGTGGCCACGAGCAAAGCTGAAGCCTGCCGCCCAATATGGTTGCAGCATCGGCTCGGTCTTGATCGAGGGCACCGATTCAGGCTGTGACCCATGGCGAAGATTCCTGGCTGACCCTCAAAGTCTGAGTTGCACATGATTGGTCGAGTCTTTCGCAGAGAGTCACCCTCCGTGGATACGGAGCCCTTCAGGTCAGTGAGGTATGTAGAAAGGACTGCCATTTCATTTCGTGTCAGGCGCCATTGTTCGATGATACTCTCGTCCCAGCCGTTTACGAATACGCAATGCGCATCCACCTGCAGAGCGAACGCCTCACCTCGGTACATGCGATAACCCACATGCCGCGCATACACAGGTCCCGTCGCCTAAGTTACAAGTCATATCACACAGCTCTAGCATACAAACAGGAACGAGGTCCATTCTTCCAGGGAATTAGTCGATGCGAATATCGCACTGGTGTTTGCTTTTGCATGTATCCAGGACTGAGCACAACAAGACTCACTTCGAAGTAAAAGAGAGATTAAGACATTGCCAGTCACCTCATTGGCATCCATAGCATACACTTTGACCTGTTTGGCCCGAGCACAAAGTGGCTGCGATGGCTCCTCGCTGCACGGCTTTGGTGGATCTCCGCACCCAACATCACCCGGTCGATTTTGCTGTACTGCGGCCACAACAACACGCCCAGGAAACGTCGCTCCTACAGGGAGACGGTGCAATCTAGCAGATTTCTTTCACTCTGGAGTCGTACGCTGGAGCGCGGATGTAGCCGTATCCCGACACTGCCAGTCCCTATAACTCGCGATCATAAGGAAGATAGTTGGCTGCCCGTCAATCATGTCCACATGGTCCAACTGGTCCGAGCCTGCGGGGGGTTCCCAAAACATGGGTACCTGCAGGTTCGTTTGCTCATCTAACTCCATGGCGAATCCATCCCGCTCCATGAGAACAGTATGCTGCATCTGAACATCCAAGTTCTCTTCCGGGTCGTCTTTGGGCTGGGGCAAGCCGCTTTCTCCTTGGTCGAATGCTCCAAGAGGCTTTGAAAAAGTATACTCTGCAGCTGAATCGAACTGCCCGACGAAAGCCGTGATCTCTTTACCATTGCTGAGTCCAAGGTGATCCATCTTGGCGCTTGACATCAAACTATGGCCCGAAGGCCCATCGGATGATGCCGGCCGCAGTACATAAAACAACAACCCCGCCCAGGACAAGACTAAAGCCACCGCAGATAGTCGCACGCACTTTGGACCAGGTGAATGCATCTTCTTGCCACCCCGGTTCGCCTTGCCCGGTGTCCCCATGATTTCAACTCTTCAGCCCGTGTTTTTTTCAGAACTGATCAATAACTAGTAGCAAGAGGCAGGCAGTGAACCACCCCCGACGGCTCTGACCACGGTCGACCCCCCCCAGAAGTACGAAACAATTGCTAACGATACCGGGTGGTCCCGGGGGCGGTCACGACGCGTCCGCCCCAGTCCGGGGACGTCCGCGAGGGACGGCGTCGGCCAGGGGCTCGGATGGGACGGCGTCGGTGGTGTGGCGCGCGCGCGCGAAACGACGCCCGCGGGCGAAACGCGCGCGAAAAGCGGACTCAGTGCGCCGCCGCGGTCGTGATCGCGCGCTCGGCGGCCGAGGTGGTCGTGTACGTCGCGCGTGGCGCGACGGCGGTGGCGCCGCCGACGACGGGCTGGTCCTCGCGGCCGTCGCCCGAGTCGAGCTTTCGGAGAACGCTCCTGCCGTTCGCGCGGTAGATGCGGTCGCCGACGGTGAAGCGGCGCGTGTCCGCGCCCGTGCGGTCGAAGAGGCGCACCAGGACGACGGGGTCCCCGGGGCGGTACTCCTCGTTGTCGTGCGTCCGCGTCGCGCGGTCGTCCGCGACGACGTAGCCCTTCCCGCCGCTCCCGCGCTGCTCCATGACGCGCGCGAGCAAAAAGGCGTGCGTGCTGCCGCCGCCCTCGCGCTGCGTGCGCCGGTAGTCGCCCGTCTCCAGCGCCACGAAGTCGCCGACGTTCAGCGACTCCGCGAGCGTCCACCGACGGCCCCCAACTAAGGGCTGCCCCGCGGCGGCAACGACGGCGGGCTGCCCGTAGAACCGGCCACGTTCGCGGCGCACCTTCGGCTGTGCGCGAAGAAGTAGAGAGTGCGCGCCATGGTCCAAAAACCATGATCAGCAGACCATGCAAACGACGCTATCGACACCGATGTCGATTTCGAGCGGCTGTATCTGGGCCGAAATCGACCGATGGTCGATTTCAGGCGAAGCGCTGATTGGCTACGCAATGGTTCCAGCGCTTCTCGCCGCTGGAGGCGGCCAGGACCGTCCCCTGCGGGCGCGCCCCCGCGCCACCCCCGTCCCAGGGGGGCCTGGGACACGTCCGGCCAGGCGCCGGGACCGACGACGTCAGCCCTGAATTAAACGGAGTTTCAGGGGGGAGTCGACCGCGACCCTAGCCCGACAGCAAGCACCACTAACTAACTACCCCAGAGTCGCGACTTGCTCAAAATGAGTGGTCAAAACAGCTGCAACATGGGGTCAACGAAGCCTGTGAACCACCCGTCCTGGCCGATCGGCAGCTTGACATCAATATTCTGAGGTCTTTTTGCTCGTCACTAGATCTTCGGCCGCGTTTCCAACCATCGTCCAAGCTACGCAGAATCCTAGTTAGCGTTCCGTCTACATGTATCCTAAAAATTTTCCTGGCTGATCATTAATGATGGGGACACCCAACAGCCATATTTCATCGTCGCCTCGGCGTCATTTCCGTTTTATACCCCGCAGCTTTTTCTCGATTCTTCTGACCGGAGTAGATGAGCCACCGTTTCGTTCGAACTTGATAAAAGTATATTCTCCCCTCTTCGTGCAGAACGCGGTGCTCCTGCTGCTCTCCGTGTTGTGGGGCGGCATTGCTACCCTTGGCGTCCACGCGACCATGATTAGCGGGTACAGCGCAAAAAAACCTGGCGTTAGGGCGGGACAAACCGTGTCTCACATTGACAGTGTCAAGCACGGAAAGCACCTCTGCCTAGGCCATGTGGCCTATGGAGAAAGGTCTGAATCCCTACCCTACCAATCAGCCCGGGAGACGTTCATATTGCATAGGTACCTCGAACTGGGTGCTGCAACGGCAAACAATAAGCGTGAATACGCAAGGCAGAATCAGTACACCTTTGTTCCGATGGGCGCGCAAGATTACGAAACCCTATTGATGAGGTACTGTCCCCTAATTGCGGCCGAGGCACGCATCGCAGATCCAATCACCGGTGCCAAATTCTGTGCAATGAGATACGCGCTTACAGAGCAGGGCTGTGATTGGATGCTGCTCACTGATGTGGATTCGGTTGTCATCGACACATCCGTGAGGATCGAGGACTTGATCGGAGGCGAGACGGCGTTCTTATCGACTAGAGTTGCGATCCCAGATGTCGTCTGGTTCGTTAATTGGTCTTTAGTCTCAGAGATACGAGAGGAGACGGAGGTGGAGGAAGCAGGTCGTGCATCTATCATTGGGGGTTCGTGTGGAGACGTGGTTGTCTTTGCCGCGAGCCTAAACACGGGCGCCTTCCTCATGCGCAGCTCTACGTTCACATTTGATCTCCTGACCCACAATGTCCTCGCACTGAGTTCCATGGGACCGTCCTTTCTCACAGAATCTGCTTGCAGCACTGCAGGCATCGGTGCGGCTGAAGAGGACCAATGTGCGTCCAACTCGGGCGTGGAAGAGTGCAGCATCGGCTGTATCCATCGTATGCACCCTGATTGGCTCAAGAAGGCTTGGTGCCTTTCCGCATTGCCGTCGGATGCCCCCGCGGTACCTGCAGCCATTAATATGGTCTCCCCTCGCCTCTCCGCCCAAGCTGGTCACG